GACCCTCCCGCTTTAAAGAAGACAACTACTGGATTCAATATACTAATATAAAGATTTGCAGATCATGTGACCTTCATCTGTTAAGTAAACATGAAAAACAAAAAAAAATTCTAATAATTTAAAAAAAAAATATATGAAATACTGGAGCCGTCCCGCGGATTTTGCTAAAGGATTAACCCTCAGTCGACACACGATCACTTAATCATCGTCAGTTGCCCCAATTGCAACCTGGTATCTAACCATTGGTTCATCTGCTATCACGATCTCGCCATTCTTGTAATGATCCGGATTCTCCAAGCAGTCCAGAAAGACGTTGACGACAGTTTCCGGTGACGTCAGACAACCCTTTGATTTAATATCCCCGTGAACCTTTGCTATAGATGGGAAGTGTTCTGTAAATGACTCCGTGCCTGTTGCCAACATATCTGTATCTACCATTCCTGGATCGAGGCTGAAAGCTCGGGTTTCAAACTTAGAATAAGAATGAAAACAAAATGAGTTAAAGTAAAGCACAATAATGGAGCTGAAAGCATGAGAGGTCATCCAGTCGATTTGTTCTTCGACAATATTATTTTGTTGACAAGTGCTTTAACATAGACTCACAAATATATTATACTAGCACTAATTTATTTATATCAATATTGGAAAGATTTTCCCCTGACAGGCATTGTTTCGGACAGTTGGACAGATGATCCCAGAAGTCATCAATGTCACACAAATGACCTAGAATTGCTAATGTCGCATACGACTTATGTACCACTTCCGTGTCACTGAGAATGTTCTAGAACCGTACTGTGTCTGGGTGGAATATTCTAGATTTTGTTTAGAAACTGGTTGAATAGGTAATAGAACACTGTAGGAGGCAATAGGAGGCAATAGAAGGCAATGGAACATTCTAGAAATTGGTAGTAAATTCCAGACTCATTATGTATGCTGATGTAATGGTCTATTTATAGACAGTGTGGGTATATATAGGGAAGTTGTTCAGCACTGAGTTCAGATCGGAGATCTCGTTGAATTGTATTGGAGTTTAAGTATCTAGTTATTGGAGTAGTGGAGTTTTACCACGTTATTGTACTTGATGTTTGCAGAGTATAATAATACCAGTACCAGTTGAAACCTCATCTGTTGGCTCCGTGTTTGTATGATATCATCGCCGCCAGGGAAGTCTTTCTGTTACTGTTGCCATTTTGGTATTTGAACCATCACACCTGTACTATACCAATTACGGTAATATTACGTTGCGTGTGACAGCTAACAACTATGATTTGGGTATGCTGATTGTTTTTGAACACGTGACATCACTAATGGGTATTTTTCAGATTTGACCACGAGTTTTAATATACAAATAGTCGGATGGTTTGCGTATATGTGCTGGGTTACTTCTACTTCCCATACAGAAATCACTCAAAATGTGATTCCTCTTAAGTTTGATATTACGACCACCAACTTCATATACTGCGTCATTCTCCCCTGTAATCCTGTGTACTGTTCCAAATACCACAGATACAGAGCCGACATAGACCAGGGAATCTGTGGTCGCAACGACAACACACAATGTTGTTGTTCGGTTTAACAATTTCAGATATGAGCAGTACATAGTTTGCAACTTTCGAACACTATGTAACTTCAGAATTCTCATGTTTCTCAGCAAAGCGAACAAGTGATAATACATTTATTGGATATTTGATAACTCTTTGATGTAACAGTACTGGGGGTTCGGTAAACGCAGAGAATGACTTTATCTCAGGGCAGCAACTGGCACAACATTATCACTCGTTACATCAGCCATCTAGAACAAGCCAGCACTGTTAGTTTGTTGTCATAGGCCGTCATCACTCCAATGCATTGCTGATAATATCCAACACACAATAGGACACAGTCGCAGAGTATTGATTAAGTATCGACTCATTAATGTCGACTCATTACATTTGTCGAGAATATTTCGATACTCATCCATATAGGGCGACGTCCTTATACAATTTTCATAATAAATTGCCCATGTTGGGAGTTTTCGTCCACGAAATGTCAAAATACACAAACAGTTATTGCACCATCAATAACGATCACCGACCGGGTTGACATAGTTGAGCTATTGATGACAATTAATCATGTAAAAGGGAATTGTATGTTCATACAGTTTTTATTTTATACACACATTTTTTCAAATGTAATATGTACTACCTTGCCAATTCAGTTTTGGATATGCGTTCAGAGTTGTCATGTATGATTAGAAACAGATGAACAATCCATTTTTTTGTTCATGTGTAGATGTCATCTAAATTCAATGGTTGCTAGGAAACGAACGTATTGCCAGTGGATAACACTCAACAAAACACTCGTAAAAACTCGAGTGTACTGCAAATATAGGAAGACAAATCTGAAAATAGGATTTAAAAGAAACTTCTAAATTAAGTGAAGGAGTGGCCTTTAGTGATTGCAACGATAAAACACTGTGTTTGATTTAGTGATTGAACACCGCCACCTGCAGTGTGGACTGGCTTCAGCGCTGCAATATTTGAAGATTTGTTGCCAGGGCAACTGGTTTTATCATTTTTTTTTATTGTGATCACAATAACCAGTGGAAAGGTTAGAATGCAATATAGATGAGAGCATGTGATTTTTAGTGTTGATGTTTGAAACAGTATATTGTGAAATACATTAGACTGTGATCAATCTCTGTTCTACTTTTCGTTCGATGAAACAATGGCTGGTATTGGTAGCGCATGCGTATTAGTAGTTTTGATTTGTCATCTAACGAATAATTTTATGTGTCCTGCAAACATAACATTTTTAATATATGGTGAATCATCATCCGATTTTGTCTACAATATGGAGTATCAAATATCAAACTATGTTTTCGCCCGTATATTTAATATGACACATAAATGACACACTTACGTCAGAGTTGACTAAGTTACGTATATATTGCTCCCTCGCTGCTTGGATGGACGAATAAAGCGAAATCACATTCGTTGTAAGCCGACCTAACAATGACGTCAAATTCACCACTGTACATTGGCATGATGTCTTGAAATACTGCATGAAATAACTGATAAATAAGACGTACCCCGTAAAGTTTAAATTAAGAGCTTTCTGTTGAACAAAAGAGAAAACACAAAATGTGATATGTATATGTATGTGCGCTTTTACTAGACTCACTTGGATGCTCTTCGTGTTGGAGTGTTGTGTACCATAAATATGAGTTCAGAACGATCACACAGACCACCACAATAAGACTGTCAACCATGGAGCGATTGTTATTCAATGATTCACCGCATAGCTATACCGTTACGTATTTTTCAATGATCTCATCCACTAGCTCCAGAAAACACGTCAGTGTTATTGTTATCGATGGAATTAAGATGACATTGTCTGAATAATTTTATTTATTACTAAATAATGCAAAATTCCAAAGCGCGTAAACCACTCTTTTATACAGAGGGTTGATAAGATGTAATTATGTCGGGGAAAAAAAATTGTGGACGTGTATACATCGTGCGTAACATACTCAACCATAGTAGTGACATAGTACCGCGAACACCTGGCGATGGGCAGTATCTTTGTAGTAATTTGGACAACCATACTTCGAACGAGTCTGTAGCGTTACTATGGTAATCGAACATGTCATGCGCAGTTTAAACACATAAATTGTCTATTCATATGATACAAAATGAGATGTACGTATTTTACCTGAATGAGAGAGGCGTCTGTGTGTTGTCCGGCCATACGTCCTATGTCTCCCGTCAAATCGGCAACGTTGTTAACAAGGATAGCATCAGAGTAATTCTCGGCGCTGGCTTCACTGATGATCGCGTCCCATGTCGACTGTAAACCACTTACGTCTGATAAGTCACGTGACACTAGCGATACTGAAAAAAAATATGGTTGACTTTCAACAGGAATTACAATATTTCAACAACTGCCACTTCCAAGTGATCGTCTGCCTTTATAATCAGAAAGGGAGACAACGGATAAAGATTTAATCTATTAAATAATAAATATTATGTTTCAATATTTTTTTTCCTCATTCGTCAATTGGTAAATGTTTATTAAATTGACCGTACGGCTGACATGCAAACACAGATGCGGGGAAAATCAATCAACATTAACGTCAAACCTCGTTATATTCTGCCTGATTGCGTCCATAACGTGTAGGACCCTTTAAAGTTCATTGACGCATGCGCAGATAATCGCCAGCACGTGCATACAATTACAAACACACCGGATTTCGCATCGTTTCAAATAAAAACATTTACCTGCTCATTGCAGTGGTGCGATAAATAGATATTTAAGTATATTTTTTATGACGATTGCCGCGAGTAACTTGAAGACTAAATAAAATGGCTGAGGATTTTATGGCATACTCGGATAATGAAACCGTAATGAAAGCGTTACTGTGTTTCATTAAGCCGAAAGTGAGGTACATACTTATCGATGGGGCGCCTCGACTATCTGTAAGCCCTCTTACTGTTAATGAACGGAGTATACCTGAAGTAGAGGATGGAAATAGCTACGCACTGTAAACGGAGTGATATGGAGGGTACAATTTTCACGTTTCGAGGATATTCGCTATTTTTTAAAATACACACTTCCATTTATAGCTTAACGCCAAATGCGCCAACGGCAGGTGTCTAGTACAACGCGTCATACTCAAAAAAACGTCGCACTATGCTCTTTCAATTTTAGGTAGCTGGCCCTATAGCGTCTTGTTTTTTAGTGTTTACGTATATAGTTACGAATCACAGCTTGTCGTATATTTATTTTAATACAAACTACCGCCAAAGGTATCAATTCATGACTTTGCGTGAATCTCTTTCAATAAGTACGATTTAACGAGATAACCAATTGAGGCTCGCAGACTCGCAAGATATCTTACAAGACATCTCAACAAGTCCCCTTAGGATGTTCCAATTTCTCCCTCACGTACAGCACCACAAACTACACGAATACGTTCTTGAAGCGTTAAAGCGCGGTAGTCGTCGCGCTGCGCATGTTCGACATTTGTGTTGATAAACATTGATTATCCCACAATCCAATGCGCTCTTCAAGTGGAAATCACAAGTATGAGGTTTGACCTGGGCGCGACTTGCACTCACTACCGCCGGTGACTTCTTCGATACCTTCCAATCACATGAAAATAACCTAATTAAAGCTTGGAAATGTGTCAGTTCGTACTCGTTGATCTGCGCAACAGTCAAAGTCGCCATCTTTGTTTATATGAGACCCATATATCTCGCACATGCGCAGCGCGACGACTACCGCGCTTTAACGTATGACATGCACGTGAATTATTCCGTCTATCACATAACGTAGTCCCTGTCTGTTAAATATATGCGTGTTGTTCTGCAGCTAGATACTAGGCAAACTGACAGCGAAGTATTCAATATACATAGTTTGTCGTGACCCTGTACATCAGATCTACCATTTTCGATTACGGTTGGCTTAGAAACTAAGTCGTCTGCAAAAAAAGCCTGTTCACTTTGTAGTTCCGGCTCATATGTTACGCAATGCGCCAGTATAACATTTCGTTTGTTCGTGATTGCTATTTAAATAATGCTATCCAATCAGAATCTTCGTATTATATGCATCGGCTATGCAACACATTTGATCATTTTGGTATTCCCGAGTAATATTTCACATTATATGACGAAATATAGTGGTGAAACGAAATTGACGCCACGACCGGACCATCTCATGATATGTAAAGGTGTGTCAACTGTTAAGTAACTTATAATAACATATTTAATCGACTTCTGAGACCTTATACGGATTTTATTCTACGTTAATTTTTCAGACTGCAAAACAAGATGTAAACGTGACAGCAAATCCATAGGTTGAATCGATTTGAATTGATAATTAAACAAACTCTTGTACGATAGTGTTGCATCACTTTTATTAAAATGTGCACATTGTAATATTGTGTACACAAACAACGCATTTTACACGCTTAGTATACTTCGCTATAAACCCATTTTGAACTCGACAACCGCCCTCTAATTTAAAATAGTTTTTAAAATTCAAGACGACATAATCTTGAATTGTGTTCCTTTGAGTCCCATGAATGTACCACTAACGAGCGTATGTAAGTATTGTGGAGACTTTAACGTTTGACGTTTGGTATGTATCTAGTGCATCAGCATAGCAACTTACAATCAACCCGTTCTTTAATTGGCAGCCAGGAGCGATATATGCCCGACCATAACTTATTCCAATTTTTGAAATATGAATAATGATTGTCGATAAAATAACCGCGACAGTAATTTAACAAGTTGTTATGGTATGCGAGACATTCTATATAGGCAATAACAAGGTGAGTTGCTGATTACATTTATACGAACAATCATTACAGAGAATTACTTGTCACACAAATAACTCCCAGACTTCTTAATATACCGATTACTCAGAACCATATTACTATTACAAACAACTCCGTTACGATTGCTGCAGACTAACACAATCTTGAGTTTAATGAAAGCTTGTTTTAATACATACACGCGTAAAGACCAGGAAGGAATTACTAGAAGCTTGTCTGAAGTAATTCACGACGGATCACAATTCAATAAAACAAGATGCCTGACTGCACATAACGAATGAAATTTCTATCACGTCGAGGGGTTTTTGTGGCATGTGACCTCGATGTCTCAAATGTGTTCTAACGAGTTTGTGATTGGCATTCATAATATGGCTTGGATATATCGCCTACATATGTACACAAGTTTTTACAACGATTTACAAATATTTAAAAAAAAAAATATTTTACTACCAACTTTTTATATTTAATTTCAGTAAGGTTAACATCATTTTTATTTATGTCTCATAGGTTAATAATGTTCACTATACAAAAATAATAATAACTATTTTTATTCATGCATTTCAAAATTTGCATAAAATAATGGCAAGTCATGATAAATTTACATAATAAGCTGATGGGACAATATATACACCGCTACATATAGAATGAATACTACAGGTAACGCCTAAGCGGAGCGAAATGACCATTCGGAGTAGTCACCAACGACAAATACAGTGAACTGTTTTTACATCTTGGTTAATACAAATTATCGCACAAGCCATCATATTGAGAAACAAGATATTGTTATTTCTATGACAACTAATCGTGCCTATTGCATAACACTTTTGCATCACTATGGCAACGAATAGTCAATCTGATTAAAATCTGATGTAGTGTACGGGCTTTAATTATTTTGGCTATAAACTTGTTTTAATTTTTTTTTTTTTTTACTTTTGTTATTAATGCCCTTTTATTTTATTATTTTACTTTGATTTTGATTTTTTTAATTCCGCCCTACCTACATCTGATCCGACGCCTATGTAAGTCCCGTTCAAATCTCGCGTAAGTAACAGCCAATCACAGTCCCCCTTTTATA